TATTGGATGGAGTGCAGGTGGGACCAACGCTCATTCCAGTAGGGTGGTGCCGGGTGTCCATTATGGACCACCCTTATGTACACCATAATGTATAAGGAGAATAATCTCCTTTTTAAATTGTTGAGAATGTGTTCTTTTGGGCATTTTGAAAAATCATTTTCAAAACTCAAAAATTGGAAAACTCGTTCTTTACTTCCCCCCTCTCTATCGTTGGCACCTCACCTTCATCGCCACCGCACCACCACCACCACCATCTGCACCAATATCCATCACCATCACCACAACCCAAATCGTACCCCATAGACACAGATCACACCAAAACCATTATAACCACCAGACATACATCCCTCCAACAGTAACAACCAACACTATTTACAAAAGATAGGGTTTAATAAATTTAATAGTGTCAAAATCCATCCACTTATCAAATGACTTGTTATTACCTCTTGAACCTAAATATACTTGCTTAGTATACTTTTGGTAGGGTTGTTATAATTGGTTGATTTAATTAAAGAGTTTCAACCCCATCGTACTTGAAATCAATCTTACTAACTCTCTCGTGAGAGGTTTAGTAAACAGACCAGTTAAGTTCTTACTAGGCTTAACATGTGTAAGAGCAATTATTCCATACTTTATTAATTTTCTTACATACTCGTGTCTTAAACTCGTGTGTCTAAACTTTTCATTATATACTTCATTATATGCTCGAGCAAGAGTTGCTCGACTATCACACAAGATAAGTATTGAAGAAATATTATTTATATCTAAAGGTATTTCATGTAACAGATCTCTTAGCCAATCAGCTTCTTTTCCAGTTTCGGCCAATGCTTCAAATTTCGATTCCATTGTTAAGTGAGTAATGCAAGTTTGATTCTTAGACTTTCAAGAAATTGTACCTCCTCCAAGAGTAAATACTCAGCCTGAAGTAGACTTATTTTCTCCGACACTCGATATTCAACTAGCGTTAGTATATCTTTTCAAGATTTTAGGGAACTTTGTATATTGTAGTCCAAGATTTTTTGTTTTTTTTAATTAACCAAGAACCCTACTGATGGCCATCCAATGTTCAGAACTTGGATTGCTAGTAAACCTACTTAGTTTACTTATAGCGAAGGCTACATCAAGTCTTGTACATTGTGAAGCGTATATCAAACTTCCAATTGCACTTGCATATTCTATTTGAGCTATTGCCCTCCCATCATTTTAGATTAATTTGATACTTGGATCCAAATGAATATTAGCCTCTTTGACATTCAAGTGTTTGAACTTATTTATCATATTTTCAATATAATGCGATTGATTCAATGTAAAACCCCCCACTATCCTTTTTGACTTTGATACCAAGAATAATATGCACTTGTCCAAGATCTTTCATTTTGAACATTAAGGATAGAAACATCTCCGTTTCTTTGATTCCTTCTATATTATTATTGATTATCAACATATCATCAACATATAGACATATTAAAGTAATTGCACTATCATTTACTTTAGTGTAAAGACATTTGTCTACCGAATTATGATTAAAACCATTTGATAGTATTTTATAGTCAAATTTCTCACGCCACTTTTTAGAGGCTTGTTTTAATCCATATAAGAATTTGATTAGTTTGTATACCTTATGTTCATTTTCCGGTAGAACAATATAGACCTCCTCCTCGAGATCTCCATTTAAGAATGATGTCTTTACATCCATTTGATGAACATGTAAATCATAAATTGATGCCGTGCAAACAAGATCCTTATTGATGTTATCTTAGCCACGGGTGCATATGTGTCAAAGTAACATATTCCTTCCTTTTGATGATACCCCTTAGCTACTAATCTAGCTTTGTAGGTATTAAGAATTCTATCGGAATTGTATTTCTTTCTAAAAACCCATTTGAAACCAATAACTTAAGAACATTTTGGTAAATCAACTATTTCTCAACTATTATTTGAAATAATAGAATTCATCTTATTATTTATCGCCTATTTCCAAAATATAAAATCTCTAGAAGACATTGTTTTCTTATAGGTTTTAGGATCACTTTCCACTTGAAGAACAAAAGAAGTTGTTCTTACAATAGCCTTCCTGTCTCCATCTACTAAGTAGAAAGAAATAAGTTGTCAATTTATTTCATCCGATCCTAGACCTTTTTTCTTTTCTGGTTCTCTTACTTTTTTGAGGTTCATATTTAACATCTCTTGTAGATATCTCTTCCTGTGGTTCTCTAGAATTCGGAATATCTTCATTATTTTGATGCTACTAATACATTTTCGAAAATTTCCACGTCCCTTTATTTTATTATAACATCTGTTTTAAGGTTTAATAACCTATAGGCTTTGTTATTTAGAGCATATCCAACAAAGGCAAATTTAATACCCTAGGACTTAATTTGGTTTTCTTGAGATTCATGTTCTTACAATAAGAAAGACACCCCCACACTTAGAAATAATTA